AAGGTACGTGAAGAGACTGGGCGTCATCAACTTATTGAATTGTCAAATTTATATTCAACAAAATTTCGTTTAACCTGAAAATCCGATAATTTCTCGTTTTCTGTGGTAATGACGTATTCTACTTCTCTGAGAAAACTTGAAATCCAGCCAATCGAATTATTTTCCTTCAAATGTTGTAGTTTTGTTATGTGTGACGAACGTCGCACGATATTCCTCAGTAAGCAACTTCTTACATTGACTGAACTTCCAAATAGTGTATATCCATCTATCGCTCTGTATCAGTTTCGTCAGCGAGGACTGAGCATTATTATGAGTCATTATTACTCACAGACAAACTTGTCAGTCAGTTGATCCGTGGTACTACTGGTCAATAGCAAGGTACCATAAAACATATCTTAAACGTTGAAAGAGGGAGTAACAGTTTCGAAACTCTCATCACCTCAGTCTAGTAATCATAATACGTCATGTAAACACAGTACATATGTCTTTCGAAACTCATCCTTCAATGGTAACGGACGTTTTGCTCTCGACGTCCACACCATAAGCATCTCCCACATCTGTTATCTATCACGCATCTACGTTTTGTCCACCTTTAGAAAATCTGAGACCATTTTGATTTTGTCGAATTTGTGCGACCACTCCTTATGTGTGGTCGGAAATTAAAGCGTAGAAAAGATGGTCTGATATGGAAAGGAAGGTAGAGACCAAAGAAATCTCTGACTTCACTCACTCACGATCGCGCACGCTTTGTTCTAGTGATACTTGTACGTACCTACCTACACCATCTAAATCACAAGTTCGGGTCCTTCTTAATATTAATAAAGCAACTAGGATCAAGTAGGGTTGGGTCAACATTACCACTGTCCGCTCATAGCGTCCCCATAGTGCGCGGCTATGAAGGCACTTGACGATGAGGCAACCTTGAATCAGCTACAACAGATCATGGGCTTGGCTGACAGGCCTGCCAAGCTGACAATTTCTCGGGAACGGAAGGAAAGAGACCGATTTCAGTCAGAGCACGTGAGAGAAAGGCACGCTCCCTCTTCATTTCATAACTTGCCAGACCTCGCGCACACACACAGAATGAACACCAATCAGTTACTAGTACAAGAGCTTATAGCGTCGGTACAACGTATGCAAGACATCGAAGTGGAGCTAAACGATGTAAATATAGCACTTCAAGAAGACCAAGAGGAGATTGAGGCGTATACGGATGAGATCGCCGACTGTTGCGACCGCATTTACGCCATCGACGAATTTGTTCGCGATATCAAGGCTGGTATTATCCCAGAGATGGCTGAAACAGCGTCTATTGTATCAAATATGGAAGAAGAACGTGAGGAAGAGGAAGCGATGCTCCGGCGATTGGGTGAAGTGCGTGCTTGCCACGAGCAACAAGTTCAGCTAATGAGCGAAAAGCAAATGGCGCTTCAAAAAGAGAAAGTGATGGTACAGATGAAAAATGCTCAGCTCTGGTGGACTCTTAGTCGCCTTGTAGGCTGTAAATTGGCGATGCGGCGACTTTCGGAACGCACGGTCAAAACATTGTAGAGATAAGCGCGATTGATAGTAATTTCTAGTCTTGCTGTTTGTGAAGTTAAGAGAGATGCGTTATCAATGTTAAATAAAAATACATTTAGATTCGACCGGGATTTAGTGTCTAGCGACGGTAGTCTCATCATAATATTATGGCTAGGAAGATGCTGTAGTACTCAGTGGCCAGAAAAGACCACAGCAAATATTTCAGATGATTCCAGGTATTCTTACCGATCTAAATCTTCCTTGCTAAATATACTTACTTAGTCATTTGGGAACAAGCAATAGAATAACACTAATGTGCTGTCTCAAATAAATGTCTGGACAAAATTATGTGTATAATTTAATATTCTACTATTTATTGTAAACGTTGAAATTCTAAGTAAATGTTCACGAAGTTGACTGTAAGATATAAGCCTGAATGTCTATTTGGCTTTGATGTATCTGCTTTTCAGAAATGCTGCTGGAGATGTCACTTGAAAGTAGACATCAAATAACTCGAACAAATCTTCAAAATGTATAGGAATATTGTTTGTATTTCACGGCGTATCAGCAATCACAACGAAGCAATCTTTCGTTACGAATTTGGACCTGAAGCGGTCGATAAAAACTGGACGTTCGTACAGTTGTGGTCGTTTAACGGTTAGTCGATAAGAAAGTTATGCTCTATTAGCGACATGAGCTAAGTTTGGTTGGCAACGTCTTGAGAAGATCGTTACATTGCATTTTCGATATAGAACCAAATCTATAAACAGGTCTAAATTATGCGCGATATCTTGTATGTTTTATCTGTGGTATTAATAATAGCTGAGCAAGTATGGGAGGAAGAGGCGGTCAGAGATTCCGAGAGTGAGTAAGAGATAACGTAGCGCGTCATGCAGAGCCATTGGGAACTTGGCTTCGCACGTTTTTCAACAATATATCGCTGTTTTATTTAGTATTTCTGCTTGAAGATTGAGCCACACAGGCACATAAACGCTTGATTCATACTATGCACACAGTATGGCTACTACATCAAAGAAAAAGTCCAAGAATATATTTTCTAGCGATCAGTAAATTTACGACATAGAAATGGCACGAACTGAAGCTACTATCTACACCAATGAAGGAATACAATCAGCATGACATGCACAAATGAAGTAGGAAAGATAGTGGATGAAGCTGAGTTGATGGGTGAATTTCGTAGAGCGGGTGCCGACATGACTTTGTCGTTTGAAGCGAAGAAAGTTTCGGTCTGTTCGATGCTTGAATTGCTCGAAGTACCGAAATTACTGGACACGCTGCCATCGTCACACTTCTCAGTGTCGCTACGTCCGAAATTCTGTGTCCAAAAGTGATGAGTTTGTCCGTTCGAAGTGAATGCGTAGGCAGCGCCTAGCATTGTGTAATCGCCTAAGATATTATTACGATGGCCTTCCGAATTCATCCACCCATCCATGACTTCATCCACATTAACTTGACCCATGGCGACATTTTCAGCGACACTGTCCCAATCATAACCAATGTCAGTCACTCGCTCTGACAAAGTAGAACCGCTGGAGCCTTTGTGACCCATGAAATTGTGCATTGCTTGGTCGTTCGAGTGACGCTGAGCTGCTTGTTGTAATTCAGTGTTTATACAAAGTGGGGGAAGACGTTGAGCCTCGCGTTCCAAATTTACGCGTACCAGCATGAGACCTATGTATTCGGATGTCTGCTTATACGTCTGCAATCGTCGAGGTGCTTTATCAGCCGAAGCAGTGAAGACGATAGAGAAGATGAAAGCCGATACGAGATTCATTGGGATTGAATTGAGAGGAAGTCGGCTAATGTGAAAATGAGATCTCAAGCACGTATGATGAATGAGGAAAGATTTTTCTGTGTAAGCAGACATGGATTCATGTCGGGGGTACGATTGTCACCGTCCATAGAGATCATAAGCTACATCACTTTCCATAATTACTGCATTGTTAATGATAATTCATCATTCGTCCACGGTGTCACACGGTGTTACAAATACACAGAATTAATCAAGAAATTATATGAACAGATATTTCTAGTGAACGAAGATAATTTACGAGCTTTCGAACATAGGTAAGGTAAGAAAGCAGGCGATCGCTCATCATACGCTGGTATTGTCAAAGACAGGTAGTTTTTGCGTTGACTCAGGAGTAGTGCTTACCCGATTCTGGTTTTATTCACATAGCAGCTACAATATTAAGGTTATCCTCGCCAAATCCTTGTACGCTCGTTTAGTCTCGTTACAGAGATGTAGCTTTCGATCTAAATATGAAATGGAATCCTTAACAAGACGTGAAATTTGCCTTTGTAGTGGTCTAATAGACTGCAGCTAGTATTAAATTCATGAAAAGCAGTGAGTTATTACAAATTGTTCTGTTGTTCGATGATATCAATTCCAGTACTGTGAATTGGTCATGTTTCGACGAGTAGAATATTCATCAGACCTAGATGAAGCCGACTCAGACGAGACACAATATTTCGTGGTGGGTCTTGTCCAGATCTTGGTACGACGTAAGACGTGCGAGCACCACTGAGATCAAAGCCCTGATCAATGACTCCGGGATACATGCGCACGATAAGCGCAACCCATTTTCTGTTTATTCAGTATGTCCCATTCGATTTTTATCGATGTTAATGGCCTAATTTCTATGTTTACTGGAGGACAAACTGGATCTATGACAGTCCTACACTGGTTGCATATCTGAGAATCTAGATGCTAAAATCTTTCCTTACACATCTTTACGGATAGAGCAATAGACTCGAATTGCTCACCCACTAGGCAATGTCGGTCTTGGTCTTTCCATAACAAACGTTTGCAATTGAAGTTTTTTCGCTCGTTAATTGCAAGTCTGTGGGTCGTGCTATGCTTGGAATTGGAACCCTTGTATGAAAATGAATACACTTGCATCGCTTTTGTTTCAATTTGTCCTATATATTCATCCCATAGAAATTAAACTTGCAGCTGTCGATGATCTCGCGTTCTTTTGCTACGAACTCTCGATTGTTGGAAGACAAGCTCTACTTGGAAAGCACGAGCTTGAGTAGAAGCAGTGGGAAGATGATGGTTTCTGATTGTTGCGCTAATGACCGAATTGTATATAAGCAGCATTATTATTCAGTAGAACATTCAATTATCTTGTCTGAAACTCAAAGCAATTCGAAAGAGTCTAGAGGAGGCAATGATAGACGCAAAAAGGAATATTTAGCTGCGAAATGATCACATGAAGCCGATGAACCACTTAGAGGGTTCACTGGTTGTGGGGGAGCCCGGGGTCAAGCTTGGTTGAGTCAGCGCCTGGGACTTTGGAGGCAATCGCTGGAGAAAGAGCCCCCGGTCGAAAGATATAAAATAACAACAGTGACATGTTTTGGGCTGAAAAAGGCGTCCAGGATGGCAGAGATGGCTCAAGCTTCGTACCCAGGGTTGCCAGAGCTCTATGTGCCACCACCAGCGTACCGAGAACAGATGCATGCGGTGCTTGCACGAGGTGTAAGACCACCGGACGCACAGCAGAGAACTCTAACAAATCAAACTAGTTAAAACTGAAAGTAGTTTCCTATCATAGAGAAAACACTTTGCACGGTAGAAACAGCATGCAGAGCATACTAGCTTATTTCTGTGGTCGGAAGACGTCAAATGTGGCATCCTGGGACATCATGATCGAAAGGAACTACATTCAAGTAGTCGACGGAAAGTGAGGAGATCAGTCCACGTTGAAGCACGGAATGCAGAAATGATTTTATGCATTTCTATCAAGATAGCACAGGCGGAAAGCATGAAGATCTTCACTAGAAAAAACGGTACAAGAAGATTGAGCAGAATACTACCTTTCATTTAGTGAAAAAAAGTGAAGCAAGTGGAACCGCGGAAATCCTTGTTTGGATAATATTGTTTGCTAGCAGATCCAGCGATAAAAGCTGCAACGTTGTGTGAACTTTATCTGGTACGGACGAGTTATCTGTAGCAACCGGAGCTGGCGCACATGGCAAATTTAATAGAGATTGAGGTAAGGCTAGAATATACAGCGAAAACGCGGGACGAAAAGATCTCATGACAGCACAAAAGTGTTCCAGATGCGATGAGACGGGCACGAATAGAAGTATTGGTTAAACTCGGTCAGGGGGGATTCACTGCTATTTTAAAAAAGACGGGTGTACACGGAAGACTCTCATTTTGGTCACGCCAAGAAGAAGACTTTACAATTTCTTCGCTGACTTTTGCGGAGCCTGGGCAGATATGGTCATATCGTTCGATTTGCTGAAAGCGTGAACAATGCGCCAGCCACCTGTGGCTTTCTTCGATGCCAGGTCTAACTAGAGTGACTAGATAGCGAACAGAAGATCAAGTCGTCAAAAAGAACATAGCATGCTAGAAGAAGTCGAAGCCCATAGCGCCGAATGGGTGGCGGCTGACGGAGATGCGATAAATGTATTTAAGAAAGGCGAGGTAATGCTGGTGGCATCGGTGCAGAGCGTGTAAATTTGAGTGTGACTGTCGTGCGTACAATTTGCAAAAAAGGCTAGAGTAAAAAACTACCTCGTGCAAGTTACTGAAAAACAATGGGAAAGAGCTGCAATTTTGTAGCACGAAGAGAGTCGCGGATGAAATTTGGTAGTGTTTGATGTGGAGATTTAACGACGTGCCCGTTGTGCAAGTATTAAGGAATAACAAAAAGGCTTTGTGAGGGACATTTTTGTCGAAGTTGACAGATATTAGCAGATGGTAGAAGTATGTATTCAGACAGGATTATATCTCCACTGATATTGGTGAAACTACCAAGACAGTACACCAGTTACGGGGGAAGGAACTGAGCTCATCATCAATCATGGCTGAGTCTATTGAGAGTACTTATTAAGTACTGAATACGAAAGAGTTGGACGTAAACTCTCAAGGATCGTGTACCATTCATCGTTGTTGAGAAACGTCACGACTTGACGTCGAGAGCCCGCCACAAATGCTAAACTAGAAGTACTAATGCATCATGAAGCTGTTTCTAAAAAGACGCTAGTCTGAATGCAAAACGTGAAGCTGGTGTGGCGAGAGAAAATTAATCGCCCCATTCGGCGCTGAATTTTTGCGTCATGTCTGTCTGTGTCAGATGGCTCTAGGGTAAGTCGCTCATACCGTCACAGTTCACAATTTATACTTATCTAATGTTGCTAATTCTCCCCGCATCACCCCAGATCGCTTATTTTTAGCCATATGGTCACCACTTTCCTGTAACTAGCTGAAATTGTGCTCCAGGACGCTATACATTACACTCGTACTGATATTAGGGGGGGTGCGCGTGTTATCCTTGTTTTTTATTGTATCATACATCGTATTCCCCAGCGAGTTTGATATCGATCTTTTGCCCTAATCTATTTCTTTCTTCGTTCTTTTATCGTGCCACTGTTGTCGGGTATCATATTGGCATTCATTTGAGATTAAGGAAGTTGGAATATTATATTCATATTCCAACCTCCTTAAATTCAAATGAATGCCTGATCTAGGCGCTTATTCTGTTCATCTATCAGCCTTTCAATGCTCTGCAGATGCTGAAAAACCATCGCCGCCTTATCTCCGGCTAATATCCTCGATATAGTTTCACCTCATCGCTTATGCCGAAAAGTTATAGAGAGACGCGAAAGAATACGTGGTGTACATACTGAATTTGATTCTCAGGTAAGCGACTTCAAGAAAAAAACGGCCGCTGCAGGCACCCATTAAAAGCATATTGATTCTGGAACAAATGATGGTATTTGGTTTGCCGTGCGCAGTGCACGTCATTTCCCGAAATAAGTTACTAAGCAAGGGGGGGGTAGGTGGTGAGCTGCAAGTTGCAGCTCACGTACACACCAAGCTTCGACCACGCTGACTAATGTAGAATGCATCATCTCTGTTTTACTATTACTTGTTTGTAACACGGCCTAATGCCATGTCGTACCTAGAAATAAAAACGATCGTATAGTCTATCCGTTGGTATCATTGGCTAATCATATGATACCTCCAGCCACACCGATAGACGCGATTCTCGTCAAGTATTTCCTTTAATTGACTTTCAAAACTTGTCTTGTGCGCACACTGTCTGACTTGACCCTTGGGGGCGCTACCTGCGATAGCAAGTGCTTTGCCATCGTAATAATCGTATCTCCATTTGCATGCTCCAGAACCCTAGGAAAAAAATTAAACAAAAGAGAACTTTTTCTAGGGTGTTGAGTATAGAGCTAGTGCAACGGGGTTACACGTACCCTTGTATAAAAGGGCGCGTCGCACAAGACGGTGTGACTGGATCACACATGTTGGTGTAATCACACGGTGGTGTGGCCGCACCGTAACAAGAAGCCACTACGTGGCAGGAATGTATAGTAATTAAGTTTTACTATATTAATTAGGTGTTGCTATATCAATTGAAAAAACCTAAGGCTTGAAATATTGGCGGCTCTGCCGCGATTAAAACAATAAAACACACTTTCAATTTTGATCGGAAGGCTTCACTTACCTTGTTTGAGGTTTCAAATACTTTTGGAGGTAGCGGATTGCGATCCGCTGCGCTCGCACTGGTTCTTGTAAAGAACGTAAGGTCTGTGACCTTAGCTAGGCTTCCTTTACGCAAAGAGCTGCAGCAGCCCCGCTGAACTTGGTAGCACTTGTAGTCAATCTACTCCTGAATCGTTTGGACTGATCCTTTGTGAGGGAAGAGCAATACTCCTATTCGCCCCAGGGCATTCAGGAAGGGCTTGATAAGCTAATGTCCCTTCTTGGCCCTGAGGGCGTGGAGCACCTTGTTGCGCAAGGGC